CTTTCTCCGGGGCAGCTACTGTCACAGCATGGCTGGATCTAAACCCTCCTGGAGCGATCGCCATGTACTGGACAAGTGAGTGTTGTGGTGCACTTCATTAGAGAAAGACTTTAGAAAGGATGTGCATGTCATGTTGAAGTTGCATGGTTCAGGTTAGTCTTACATTTTCTGTTAATTTCAATATGTCACATTTCTGTGACGAAGCACTGCTGTTCTGAAATGTCATTCTTCTTTTCTAGCAGCTTCTACTTCAGTATGGACAGGGCAAACATAGATCACAGCTATCGTGCCCAGCAAAAAGGGCCACCTCCAAGTTATGAGAGTAAGTAAAATATCTTTATTTCCTTTTCTTTCTTTTTCGTACAGAATGTACCTTTTAAACTACACAAATGCTGCATTGCATGAATTCTCTTTAATTGTTTGTTATTTCACATACTGGACATATTGTTGTAACCTGAATATTATAAAGTCAGTGTAGTATTATAGTATTAGATTTTTATTGTCTTTAATCTACTTTAATTATTTATCAATCTGCCACTTGTCTGATGGTTATTATTTTTTCAACGTACTTTTTTGGCAGAACATAAACACAGTCCCAACTCACAGAGAATACTCTCAAAGAAATCCCGGCCTTCCCAACTCTTCCTGTCCTCCAGCAATGAACCTTCCATCCCAAGTCCTGCTGATGATGACCTGCTGATGAGGCTGTCATTTAACGAGTTGAACAGCCCACCACAGACACCTAGCAGACGCTCTAAGCCTCTACCCCCTATTCCCCCACGGACAGATATCTCCCATGAGCAGGCTATGGACAGTGAGGTAGAATTTTTCACAAGTTCAGACGACAGCTGCCGCCTGGTGTCTGATCAATTTTCTAAATCAGCTTTTAGAAATCCTCTATCTCACCGAAGGAGCTTCAGGGACTGTGGGCAGATTAACTACGCTTACTACGATGGGCCATTAGGACCACAAAGCCCGCAGCAACCCCAACAGCACCATCAGGCAAATCCTCCACAGGAAGTACAGGAACAGTATGAGCAGCAGCCACAGGAAAGACCCGCTCAGAGGAGGCTACGACGCTCTCTCTCTGGACCAGCTGGATCTTTACACAAGCTGCCACGACCCACATGCCCAAAAAGGTACCCCAACAATATGGATAAACCAGAGGTTCCCCCTCCTATACCTCCACGTAACGTCAAGACAGATTGCAGGCGCTGGTCAGCAGAAGTCTCATCTGGGGCTTACAGCGATGAGGACAAACCACCCAAACTGCCTCCAAGAGGCCCTCTGTCCACAGGCAGCTCCCGCACTCCCAGCCCTAAGAGCCTCCCAACATACACTAATGGGGTGATGCCCCCAACCCAAAGCTTTGCACCAGATCCTAAGTATGTAAGCGGTCGGAGTTTACAGAGACAGAACAGTGAGGGCTCCCCATGTATCCTTCCTATTATGGAGAATGGCAAGAAGGCCAGCACCACACATTACTACCTTCTGCCTCAGCGGTCTCCTTTTGCAGACTCGCCTTGTGACTGCCACACCAGAAAGAAAGCACAGGTGGATTTTGTTTGAAAAGTTTTTGTGGAAGTAATAGAAGACTATATTGTACATGCGCAAAACCCACTTGACAAAATGGTGAAATTGGACACCAACAACCTTTTTAAACTGCTGCTTTTACCTTTTTTCTTTTTTCTTTTTGTAATACCCCTTATGTATTTTGAACACACAGGGTATTTGCGCACTGTGTACAGTTACTGGTAATATTGAAAAGATATTTTCTGTGAAAACCATGTCTAACTAAAGATTGTGGGCAAAGTTCAACAGTCTATAGCTTATTTTTTTTAAAATATATTTTAATTTTATGACATTCAATATTTTGCTCTGTTTTAGTAAAGATGTGGTACAGCCAGAAAGTACAAGCGGGCCTTGTACCTTGTGTGCTCAGTGTTTTGTGTCTGATGTGGTGTGGATGTTTTGTGAGATGCACTGGGGCTTTTTGATGGTGCTTTTGCATCTCACAAGGGACAAAAAGGTCAGTAATGTAACCATGTATCACTTAATATATGAAGTCTAAATACAAGCCCGATGAATTTATAACAAAATGAAGGATTCTAGCACGTGCCGATTCTGTTTGCTATTATATCAATACTGATATGGGTTTCGCGCCTTGATGTAGTGTCACTCTTACTCAGGCTGACTACTTCAAAGTAAATTTGTGTTGTGTTTTGTTGTTTGTTTGTTTTTTCACCCCATATGGCACATTGTCATGGTACATTTTGTACTAATAGGTGGGTTCATTACTAGTAGCTAACCATATTTCTTTTGGATTGTCCAGTGCAGCTGAGTATGGTGTAGCGTCTTGAGTGTATTTGTGTGTGTATGTGCAGTGGATGTGTTTGCGCATATGTGCATGTGAACAGCAGTTGGGAAAAGTGTTTAATTAGTAAAGAATTGTCAACAATGCTTGTTACTGTGCAACACTTGTTAGCAGTGCCCGCTTTTTAGTAGAGCCTTCTAAGAAGTGCACACATTTGATTTATTTCTGTCAGTCTCCAGATCTGTTTTATTGCACAGGAACTGGTCTGTTGACCGTCAGCGAATGTGTGCTGTTCTTCCAATTGAAGCTACTTCTTTTTCTTCTTCTTTTTTCTGGTCAAGCTGTGAGTCATTGCTTGAAACAAATTTGCCTCAAGTACTACCTCACTTTGATATTATCCTTATACCTTTACAAACTCCCTGCTTTAAATTGTGTTCAAAGGTGAAATTTGAAATTGTAATCCACGAGCGATGAGGTAACGGCTCCATATGTGACCTAACACTTGTAGGAAAAGGCAATGAATTCAAACGCAAAATCTGTTCTAACCGGATATCCTAATATGGAGATTTTAGATGAAATAGATTTTAGATGAGAGATGTTTGACTAATCTGTTAATACAAATGCATTACAAAGACAGTACAGGGTTTACCTACCTGACACAGACTTTCCTGTTCTGCACATGCATTCCTGCCTTACATGATTGCAGTGGGTGTGGTCTGAAAGACTTTGGCTGCTGGCAGCCTACAAAATGTATAATTTTTTTTTTTTTTTAATTGTTGTACATTATCCACAAGGCGTCAGGATGATATAGAAAATGTAGCACATGTATTGAAGTAACCCTTGGTATCAAACACGGTGTTCAGTTTGGGAAACAAATAACTGCTAAGGTCAATCGGTCATTGAAGTATCTTTTTTTTTCTCTTCCTTCTGTTCACAGATCTTACCAACACAATGTTGCTTTTGACTTAAATGTTTGGAAAAATGTTTACATCATACACAAAAAAAACAAACTATTTAATCTTAAGGTATTCATATGTCTTATTAGAAATGTTAAAACAGAATGAAGACTAGTTTATCAAGAGATAAGTCTGCTGTGGCGAAGACATGCACTGGGAGAGTTCAGTATGCTGTGTACAGTATTTAACAACTCCATTTGTTATTATGAATAGTTGATAAGTATATAGTCTTTAAAAAGAAAGCAATAATAAAGTGACTTATTTATAAGCTTGCTTCGTCCTGTGTCTTGAACCTGTCAAGAGTGAACTCTCAACTCAGCTGTTTGGCCTGTTTTATCACCCACACGCCCTCATGGTGCACTTTATTGTGACTGGCTTCGATCCAAAGAAAGAAGAGTGACAGGTGTACAGTAGAATGCCTTCCTCTTCCTGGTTATAACTAAATTTCCTCCTGCACGATTGCTTCATCGTTCCTTGGCAGCGGGCTTTGCACCCACTGCTTTTAAAGCCCTTTTAACACTGTTACAAGTGTTTTATTCTCAATTTGAATCCTTGTGGTAAGGAGTGGAGCCAAAACCACAGTAAACCCAATTAGAGGTCAAATAATTACTAAATGAGCCACAGTTCAGCTCCAATTACAATACTGGCAGAGACCTTAGTGATTTGTATTTCTGCTGATTTGCTTAAGACAGTGACTTCTCTCAATGAAACAAAAGGTGACAGTTTAAGTTAAGTTGTCTAGGCCACCTGAAAACCTTTTCACTTGGTTCTCGCTTAGGTGAGTTACTAAGCAACAGCATGCGTGTTGACTATAGCTACCAAAGAAAGACTCACTGCACTTTTAAAATAATTGCTAGAGGCAAGAAAGACAAAAAAATAGGTAAATTAACAGAAAGACCGGTTTGCACTCAGATTGAACATAGTTTATTAATCAGTTTTCTAAGATCCTTTCCCTTTAGTGGCACTACAAGTCACAAATGCATTAAGTCATAATGGACACAAGACTTATGTTTCTCTCTGTAGCCACAATTTCATAGAAACTGTAACAAAGGAGATCCTGAAAGTTCTATTTTTTTCTCTCCATTAAATTTCAACACCCCATACACAAACATACAATATGTATGGCTTATCTTTCAGTTTCTCATCAAATACATTTCCTGCCTCAATTAATGAAACTCTGGCACTCCGGAGGCATTAATGAGTGAAATAAACTAATTTCTGTGATAAAAATATTATGATTTTTGTAGTTATTCCCTTAATTGCTATAAAAATTCCACTTTGCTGGTTACACTGCAGTTCTTTGTGTTAAAGAGCCCATATATGTTTAGGTGTTTCACTATTTCTACACTATAGAAATAAAAAGTAGCAAAGGTCATATTGGAGAAGTGCTGATGATGCAGTATATCTATAGCTAGACTATCCACAATCTCATATATTTTCAAGAGAGGATGGAGAAGTATGGATTGTGTGTCTTCCTCTACTCCATCACACAGAGGAATGCACATACACACACAAAACAAAAATCATGAAGCTAGACTAAAAAATAAGTTCCATTCTTTGCATTAACTTCATGTTTAGGCGTAACTTTTCTTATCGTTTGCTGTGAGGTGATTTGTAAATATTTAACTCAGGCTGCAGTGCTGCTGGTTAAATTTTATTCAGGTCACAGTACCTGTGTAGGAAATATAGAACATCAAGCAAAGGTAAAGAACTTGCTCAGTGTACCACCTCTATTGAGGCACTAGGTGGAGACAAAACCAAATCAAGGGCTTATCTCAAAAGAACCAAAGTTAAGTTTGTTTTTCTATTATGAATCAGCTGCAAATACATGCAAAAGTAGTTTGATTTCCTTTCTATGAAAAAAAAAACATCTTAAAATTCCATTAAAGGCCATGGTCTGTGTGTCTTTCTCCTTTGACTTATATCCTTCAAAAGCGAAATGCTTAAAATAAGCACATCTATGCCATCTAGTGGCAGATGTCCACAGTCATCTGCAGAGCCCTAGTCTGGATTATTTTCTTGTTGGGGTGTCAAAGTTTTGTTTTTGTTTTTTTAACTGGATAAAAATAGAGATGCTGTTTAAAAAAAAAAAAAAAACGAACAAAAAAACAGAAGCACCTGTCTGATACAGTAAAACCATTGCATAGATACTGTGTAACATTTTAACTGGACAGATGTTTACAAATATACAAATGTGTGTATTTGAACGCTACAGTAAGCATTTTTTGTGTTTCACTACAGTTAGATGTTAATTGTAACAAGCTCAATAGAGATATATCATAGAGTATAAGCAGTAGCTAGCCCATATTGCATATTGTTTAATAACACTAAAGGCAAAATTAACTTGTTATTTAACAAAATTATCTATAGATAATACAGTGGGTTTCTCAGTTTGTGCATTCAGAAAATGTAGATTTTCCAGGCAAAATCTTCAGGTTAAAAGAGATTTATTATTATTTTTACTATTTGAACAGTGCTGAGAAAGATATGTCAAGAGAGGATAAAAAGAGAAATGGTGCTCCATGATATGTTGGTGGAAAATAATATACGTGCAAAAACATATGCATTAAATTTAAGTTCTTATAAATAAATGATAAATAGCAAAACAACTTCAAAATGTTTTAAAATTAAAATATGATAGTTCTTGCTGATCTTTAAGTAAGATTATTAGTGGTTAAAACAGTAACTAATTGCTTAATTTTATATAATATAGTGAATATATCAGTTTCTAAATGTTTTCTGATCTATAAGTGCCTGCCAGTCCCAAGTTGGAAATTCCTGAAAGACAAAGTCAAAAATCATATTTTTAAACATTGCTGAAAAATAGTTAAAAATAATTATTGCATTTTTAATAACTAATCATAAATAATTATTATAATAAATCTCTGAATATGATAGTAATTAGAGTAAGACATACATGTATCAGTGAAGTCAAAGAAATCTCCCTCAATAACAGACAATCTTCTCCTCTGAGAGTTGCTCATTTTCCTAAAAAAGAAAAGGATGCTTGTTTGTGTTTTTACTCAATGACTGAACAGAAAAAGCCATTTTTTTCCCAGAGTACATTACAGGAAAATGCGCAGAAGGCATCATAACCCACCAAGTATACATATGTCTCCTTTTGAAAATGACAGCGATGACGATTATAATCAAGAGCAGGAGCGCTACTGCGAGTGAGCCAAACAGTGCTCCATAGAAACCTGGACCTCGGCGGAAAAGGTCACATTGTGGACCATAAAACTGCTCCAGGCTGGTTTCGTAGCACCTGGGTAAAATTCAAAAGAGGTTTAATAAAAATAGTTTTGACAAAAACAACTTGAGTCAAAAAACTAGATAGATAGATAGATAGATAGATAGATAGATATTTTATTACCTGCAGACTGAGCCTGTGTAAATGTCATTTAAACATTGTCCGTGTCCATTGCAGTAATCAGGGTTTCTTTTGCATGGTCCAACACACTGCCATTGACCATTAATAATCTCAGCAGTGTAATTAGCAAACTGAGTGCAGTTAATAAAAGGCTTCAACTCTGTGATATCTACAAGATTTCAAAACATATATATATTCAACATACTATAATGTAAATAAACAGGACAAATTTGAGAAAAAAAATGGATAAAGAATGGCTGATTGTGCCTTACATTTAGAACAACATACAACACACTTACTAGTAATGGCAGGTGCCTCAAAGCTGAGATCATTTAACTCCACACTTTGATTACCAAAGGCCAAAGAAATTTTGTTGAGGTTATTTTCATTTTGTAGGATTTTCTTCAAAACCACACTAAGATGAGTGTTAATAAACTCAATTTGAGTTTCATTGTTTTGATACTGATACTCCGCCAGGCTCTTTGCAACAACACTTCCTTGACTACAAAAAAACAGTAGAAATGTTATGAGAAAACAGCTATCTCTTTCTTAAAATGTAATAATAAATGTAACAAATAGTTTAATAAATGTTGAGGGAAAGTTTACCTTAATTTGATTACTTTAACTGTTTTATAGGCCTGGGGATCTGCTTCTCTACACAGGCTTCTGAGCTGTAAAAAAAAAAAAAAAAAAAAAAAAGGACAGAAGGGATTATGCAACATTTCAGATAAAAGATTTAAATAATTTTATATTTTTTCGTATTACAAAATACTTTGTAATACTATTTAAAAATAATAACTCATAATATTAAATATGAAGAAAATTATCTGTACCTGTGCTTCTAATTTGTTGATGAATATCTGTGATTCAGGTGAATTTAAATTAAGAAAAGCCTGGATAAAAGTGACGTTGAATTTGAAAGTAATGTTTACTTTGCGCACGGGTGCAGTATCTGCAAAAAATTGAAAAATTTTAAAAGCCATTTATGAAAACATTTTACCTTGGACATGCAAAAGTGGGGGAGAAAACACAGATATAATGCGAGAAGTCAAAATATCAATTTATGTAAAAGGTATTCAAAAGTCATTTTCAGGTAATGAAAATATATTATTTTTAAGAAAAACTATAAGGAAATGAAAAACCTCACCAATGATTGGGACAGTGTTGTTTTCTCCATAAGAACATGAGTCTCCATAGGCAAAATCTTGGCACACAATTGTTGTCAAAGAGGATGTCAAATTTGTGGGGAGAGTAATTGATGAAGAAAAACTAACTGTTGCTGACGATGTAGGAGGACTTGTGAATGAGCCTACAATTGTTGTTGTTTCACTGGTGGATGTATCAGTTAAATAGGTCACAGATGTAGTTGAAGAGGAGAAAGAAGAAGATGTACGACTGGGAACTGTACTACTTGAGTTGGGCTGTACAACTGTAGCTTGTGAGTCAGGAAGTGTGGATGTCATTATCTCAGAAGCCCGAGTAGTTGTTCCTTTGTTCTCTGTTGTACTAGAGCCTGTTACCAGTGCTTGAGTACTTTGTTCAGTGTATGTTGG